GTAGGCCTGCTGGATGTTTATGCAAAGTGTGCTCTGTTTACTTAGTAATAACTGCATTTCTAATTCCATATAAAGTAGTTTGAGCGAAATATCGGAGCGACTTTCGTCTTAGTCTTTGTTTTTAAATTGAGTTCTTCCTAGGCAGCAATGAGCAGTGTTGAACGAAAGGTCAAAGAAACCGAAGACGAGCCAGTTCCGTTTGAAGGAAATGTTGTTAACAGCGGCCTTTCCATTCCGGTATTCATTTCGGGTATTCATTTGATTTATCGTTAACCGTTAAAAATGATTTTGACAGAAATCAGTGGAATACACGGACGAGACGTTGGGAACAGCTGATAGCAGGAAAGACACTGCTGAATCGACCACCACCCCGCTCAACAATATAAACCAGGTAAAGCGAGAAAAGGATAAAGGATAAAGCATTTGCCGTTGATCAATCCCTTTTTGGGATGCGGCACGCATTCTACTTCCATTTGTACATTCGTAGTGGCGTTTGAATGCGATGTGGCCTATACAATGACTTGCGGGGCCAGCCGATGTACAAGTCAGTGTTTTTATCCTCCCAGACAAGTCTGGTACCAATTAACCGACCCCGGAGGGATGGAAGGCTTGGTTGGCCCGGGCGACTCACGACCCAGGATTTGATCCCCGGACCGCTCGCGTGGTAAGCGTGCCACTTGCCACTACACCACTTCCGCCCTTAATAGATGATGTAGCGGCTAATGCGATGGCTACGCTACATATGATCAACTTTCGCTAGAGCTAATGGAGCCTCTGCGGGTGCTGATCCTGAGTACTATAGACACCGCTATTAGGTCTGCTGATTGCATAAGTACACGAACCAAGAAAAAAGAACGGGTAAAACATTCAGCGTCAGTCGTTATCGTTCTGACCGACGGGGCACGCATTCTACTTCCATTTGTACATTCGTAGTGGCGTTTGAATGCGATGTGGCCTATACAATGACTTGCGGGGCCAGCCGATGTTCAAGTCAGTGTTTT